ATTTTAAAGAAAATGAACATGCCTTTCTCGAGATATTCATTTTTCAAAACAAACAGCCTCTTATTACAGGAGGACTAAATTTCCAGGTTCATTGGAAATTAAATATTTCAAGAAAGGCACGTTTATTTTCTTTGAAACTTTCAGGACTTTCTAATAACTAATAGATCTATCTATAGGCAAAATTTCAGGTCAAAATTATTTGTTTTAAGGTTTTTGGAAATACCCTGTCCCGAGTAAAAAATCCAGTAAAACGGCCATAACTCTTCACTAATACGCCATGGGGACGAACACTTCTAGGGTTTTCTTAGTCTCACTGAGGCCTACCTGTAGCCAAAAGATGAAGCCGAAAGCTCGGAATCAGTTGGATATGTTCCCTTGTCAGCCCCGCGCTGTCACTGTTGTCAAGCTATGAAAAATAAACATTTTGTAAAATTAATATTAAACTTACAAATTAGTTGCGTTTCTTGCTTCAGTCTCGTCAGTGAATCGAACAAAAGCATTTACTGTCTTTTGTAAAGGATGAAATTCTTTTCTAAAAAACAACATATTAATATGATTCCAATGAAAATTTTTTAATTAACTAACTTGATAAATGCAAGACGTTTGCCTCGTTTTGGATTTAGTGGAATCTAAAATATATGTTGTAGGCAAAAAAAGAAACTAATTATTATAGTATAGAATTGACATACGAGATTTCGAAGTCGAATCGATTTGACTGTACCGAATTGAGAAAATAATTTTTTAAGTTCCTATTTCAACGAGTAAACGAAAAATAAATTTCAATATAAATTTCAATAATTACTTTTTGAGTACATCCAGTTGGTACATTACCAACAAATATTGTTTGAGCATTAACTATTAATGGATCTTCGTATTCACGCTCTTGTCTATATAATAATGCGAGTTAACTCATTAGTAATATTAACAAAAAAACTCATCTTACTTAATTATTTCATTTTGTGTTTCGACTATTTCTTCTTCAACTGTTTCATTTTCAGATTCTTCTTTTACTGGAACACTGACAAGTGTTACCTTTTTTGCATTGTTAAATAAAGCAGACAAATTAGAAGTCATCTATAAAAACTAAAAATTTATAACTGAATAAATTGACTTTGTTTTTTTCTTCACACAATGAATTGAACAATACTAATGTCTCTCAGATGGCCCCTGACAGCTAACCGTCTTCATAAAATATAATCGAGCAGATGCTAGGCATCGTGTCAATCATCATTGAGACAAATTGTATTGAAATAATATCGAAATAGAAGTGGCAAATATCCTTTTTATCGTTAATTATTTTCTATTGAGTTATCAAATTTATTAATTTCTAATTATAGGTTATTTAAAAAAAAAAAGAATATAATTATTAACAATAAAAGGAATGATCTCTTCTACGATTAATATTTATTAGTTCGAGGTACAACGAAAAATACAAGCAACCAAAAGTGTCGACGACCATTAAGAACGAATAAAGCAAAATTAAATCATATCACGATATATAGGGAGATTCATATATATAACTACTCAATTAGATACTTGTCTTTTTTTCGATTTATTTAAACTCCTCCAAGATTTGTAGCTTTGGGTATCAAACCAGATTGACGAGGATATTTATAAAAAAGAGACACTTGAATAAAACCCAATATGGCACCAAGAAAATTTGGTACCTGAAATATCAAAATATTATAATTCTTTTCAGTATGAAATTTTTAAACATACTTGAACAAATTTATCATCAATTAAAATACCATATAGAACCCATTCAATAGGTACGATAAGATTGGCAAAACATAATGGTAATGAAAGTGATTCAGTACTTTGCTTTTGAACAACTGCTCGCTAAAAATAAAGACCAAAATTTAATGAATTTAAGTGCTACTATACAAACAAGAGAAGCTAATGGTGAACCAAACATAATCACAGTAGCAACGGATGCAACAAGACCAGCACGAAAAACAGCTACATCATGATCGGGAACAAAATATTTAAAATAAACACCAACTGTTGCAAGAAACAAAATAGCCGTTCCAATTGATCGAATATATGAAGTCTAAATTAAAAAAAAGCCCAAAACTATCTTTTCCATGAATTTTTTTCTTTTATATTTAAATTACACGATCTGATGTATATTGAAGGTAAACCAATGCATAAAGCATTTGCAAAGTAGCTCCTATAAAATTGACAATTATAATTGTTGAATTATCAGCTGAATACCCATATAATAACCATAGAGTACAACTAGATAAAACGGAAAATCTTTCATAAATTCCTAATCAATACAAAACACTTACTTAACCAATGTTGCAACAAATGGAAAACCTGATATATCACCCGTTGAACGCATACGATAAATTCGATTACATATTTGTCTATATAATACAATAATAAATTATTATATAAACAAATCTTCAATCTTACACTCCAGTTAAAAATAATCCAATTGTGCTTACAGTACAGATTTTTGAAATTATCGGTATTAAACTATCGTTGTTACTTGTCATTGTAAATACTTCTTACAAGTTTTCTAAAAGAATGAAATCTCTTTTCTATTTGTTTCCATTCATCGATACATTTTATAGAATAATTAAAGAATTCTTAAATAATAGTTTAAATCAATACACACACGCAGACAGATATACAAAAAAAGGCAGGAGAAAAAAAAACAAGGAATATACAAAATGAAATAATCTTGATTAAAGTAAAAGTCCTTATTCGTCTATTAAATATTTTAATTATAGTGTTTTTTTTTAACCAAATGTATTTTCACCTCCATAAGCAATGTATAAAAAGCTATCTTCATCTTTATACTCAGCATATATTTCACCCATCGTTGCACTAAATATAAATATTAATAAAATAAAAATTGAATTATGTTTTTTCTTATATATATATATATACCTTGATACGGGTATTGTTTTATTAACAAAAAGAAAAATAGCTTTTTCTGGTGCTAATTGAATTCGTTTACGAATAATCCACATGAATTGTGCAATCGTTATATCATTTGGTACCAAAAATTTACGTTTATCAATATCAGGTATTTGGGATTTTGGGACCCGCTCAACTACAACCTAAATCAGAACAAATCTTTAGTTTTGTTAAAATAAACAAATGTTAATTTTTCTGTATTACTGGAATTCGTTCAGGATACTTAAGACGAATTTTTTCTGCTTCTTGTTTTCGTTGTTCTATTAATTATAGAAATTAATATAAATATTATCGAAATACACAGACAACATACCAGCAGGAGTTTCTTCTTTGAATCGAAATTTCATTTTAAATGTATAAATTGAATTTCACACAAAAATTAGTAACAAACAGCTTGTTTTTATATAAAGTTCCCAAACAAAAATGATGATTGTAATCTGGGAAGAAAAAAAAACAAATAATCGATGAATCATATTGATCGACTAATAGCAAAAATAGTGAAGAAATAACATTAAAAAAAAAACATTTAAATTGTCTTTCTTTCTCCAATGCAATCATCTTTCGTCAGACTTTATTTACTAAACGAAGCTTGGAAGACAAGAAGGCATAGACCAAATGAAATATCACATGATAAATATAGATAAACTTTTGTTTGAATAAAGAACGAATAAAAAAAAATAACTACTGATAATTAATTGAATCATTGACAACAAATCAGTAAACATTTTAAAACAAATTATAGAACTATTCCGTTACAAGATATTATGGAAAAAACCTATAGCGTAAAAAGGGAAATAAATTATATTAATCTTTTTGTTTACGCTAACGTTAGATGTCGTTCTCTGTCAATCGTGATTTTTGAAAAGTGTTATTTATTTACTTAGGAACATGTGAAATGAGAAATATTTTTCAGCACAATAAATAGAAATTCTGTCTTCAATGTTTTTATACAGTTCTGAAATAAATTTTCGGACTATATGCATATTATCGCTCATCTAGTTTGATCTCGAGCACGAAACTTTTTATAGTAAATTGTAGAACGTTATTGTATTTTGCGAAGTTTGTTTTTATTACTTATCTTTTTCCTTGAAATATGATTCATACGACTTAATTGTGAATGTAACTTTAGCCGTTAACAATAAAAAAAGTTGTTAAACACCGTGACTAAGTGTTATTGAGTTTCATTCTTTTACTTTGTAACATCTATTTCTCACTAATAGCAAAAACTAATTCTTTGAAACTTTGGTTATATCTAGAGACTATCTAGATTTACTATTAGCAAAAAAATGTCATTGGTTTTCCTTTAATTACAGCTGAATTATTTAGAAAATACCAATCATTACGAAATTTCAAAAAAACAAAAAAAAAGAATTTTTTTTTAGCGAAGCGAAATGTTTAGCACTTTACTATGAAACGAAGCAACATATAAACAAACTTTCTATATAAAAATTGTTCAGATTTTAACAAGCATAACAGCATCAAATAGCAAAGTTAAAATAGGGTTCGTTACGAAATGTCATCTAAAATAGAAATGGTTTGTAAATGTATTATCTTGGTTCGTAGACGTCTAAATTTTTTACGATGATCATATGTTGAAAGAATGCTTCATATCCAATCGATTAAAAACTAATGGAAGATTTTATTTTTCTGCTGATTGATCATTGTTTGACGATATGTTACATTATCATCTTTTACACTAATTTTCAAATTGTCCACTCCAAGACAGATTTTGCGCATCTAGAGAAAACAACGTTGTTCAGGAATAGAAACACTTCCATTTCAAATATTATTGATTGTTTTCCTTTTTAAATGGTAGACTCAACTTTCTTCATTTTTAAGTTCAAATTCTCTCCGTGTGTTAATGGTCGAGAGCTGGTTATGTCGTACAACATTTCCGTTGATTTTATTATTTTTCGTAATATTTCAGTGAATTTATTGACAATATCATTGCTATGCTCGACTTATTCATAGATAACATAAACTAGAATAGTTTTAGATCTATCCGATATCATCTGCACCCATCAAATTTTGTTGCAATAAACTTTTTCAATTTTCCGCTTATTATACAATTCGAAAACATTAAGTTTTTTTTTTATGTTAAATTTATGCTGTGATTATAGAAATGTCATTCGTTTACTCTGAATATTTCTCTAACAGTTGTTCCGTTGTGAATGAAGAAGAATATTGTAACTGGAGCACTGTGGAGTCAAACTTTTTGATTCTGAAATGCGATTCCAAGGAATTCAGAATTTGTTTTTTTTTAGCTAGAATATAGATTACTTTTTGTGCTGCTTGTTAATGAGAATGTCGCTCTGATGTTTGTTTTCTTGAAATTTATACATGAATCTATAAATTAATGCATTTTTATTCATTACTTAATATATGAAGAATAAATTTGTTACTATGTAAGAATAAAAAGTACTTGACTGTTTTACTAACGTAACTCTGAAACTGATGCGGAAAAATTTTTTCACAATTTTTTCGGCTTCGACAGAATTGGTCTTCGACACTCGATGCAGAACTCTAATTGCAATTGATATTTTCTCAAGTGAAAAATGTAGGAGTGAGTGTTTGATCGAATTCAGTAAAGTAATTAGTTTTCTCTTTAGCAAATATCAGTTATAATATTCTTCTGCATCTTACATTAGAACATTTGCTAAAGAAATATTTTTATTTTGATGCATATAGTTGAAATAAATAATGTGTATAGTTGACTGTACTTTTTATTAATGACAAATTTTACATAGAAAGCAGAAAGAATCAATACAGATATGTTACTACAAGAAAGGTTAGCGTAAAAAAAATGTTCATTAACATAGTCCTGATTGTAACCGAATAATTTAGTTAGAGTTGTTCGTTTTGAAGAAAATCATTGTTCTTCTGTAGTAGATACATAACATCAGTACGAACTGTATATTTTCGACCTTTTTTTCAACAGTGAGCCTTCATGAAAAGTCAATGTTCGAATACAAGTACCATTCATGTGCGTGGTTTACATGAATAATTTTTCTTTGTATCATGGTAATTAAGAAATGTTATTTCACCACCTTTATAATTGTCATTTAAATATAGTTGTACTGTCTCTAATATAGTTTAAAAAAGAAATATATTAAAAATTAAAATAAGTAACAATAAAACTTGTTTCACCATGTCCATCAGGCCGTTGATAAATACCATCTATATATTTAAATCATGGGAAAAAATCAAAGAAAATATTTTTATACTCATATGTTCTTTAAATTGTTGTCCAGATCATAACGAAGACATTCATTAAGGCCAACTATCCATATTCCTGGTAAATATGATTTAATACGTTCATATAAAACATTTGCCATATGAACATCATCAATAATACATCGATCCTCTGTCATTAAAACTTTACGTAGATCAATATTAACTAACGCTGGAACATAACTACGTTCTTCTGTTAATTTAATCCATTCAGAACATTCTTTTTTTTTGTGAAAAGATTTAATAAAATAAATGCTAATCTTCCTGAATCTTCCTAATTTGGTAATGGCGCATCAATTTTTTAAATATTTGTTCCTGTTGCCCCATTGCTATAATGATATGACGGAACGGCCAGTTTTTCAATGCTTGTTTCTGTTGTCATTGCAACAGTGATAAGAGGCTTTTGCCACGTCAATTTTATCTGACTCACAATTACAGAATGAAAAAAAAAAACTTGCAATAAATAAACAAATAAAAATTCTATCACACTACTTTAGAGACTTGAGTATCAAAAGAAAATTACATTTAAACAACGAAGCAGGCATAAAAATTGATGTATTTCAAATTCATTGATTAAAATAAACATTTCCATCAATTCAGTTCCATGATTTTGATTAAAAACAAAAACACATTTTCATTTCATTTGCTTGATTAAAATGTTCATTTTAATCAATAAAATTGGAATACATCTATTTTTATGTCTGTTTCATTATTCAAAATACCTTTTTTTTTCCCTGTATTTGATATAAAATTCATGAAAGTGATGACATTTTGTTCACTTTTTAATGTCATGAATTGTGTCAATAGAAATAAACTTTTTTAATCAATTCTTTTTATAGTATGATTATATTTGTTTCTTGTTCCATGTGACATGTTTCACACTGACATGGTTCCACTTGGAGTAATACCGTGACATTCTTATATAGACGTAATATTAGAAAAAATTGTTACAGCTAATATGAAACTACTGAATTCATATCATACATAAGCCTAAACATAAAAGTATATATTCAAAACACAGTATACAAATATGTTGAATGAAGCGTACATTTTTAATAACGAGCTTTCAGAAAGGTTTTAGGTACATAAAATACTATGTTCACGGATCAACGAACATAAGTAAAGCAAATCAGAAAAAAAGTCTTGATTATAAATATCACATAGCCACCAATGTAATAATATACTGCATAATAAAGTATGGTCAAAGAAAAAACTTTAGTTTAAAATAATCACTCAAAAGGAGAAAATATCGATTGGATTTTTAGTCAGTAATATCAAGTTTTCTATTCTTTTTATTTATTAATCTCGTTTTGATCTCTTCTTGCATGATAAACATGCACTATATATTTAGTTTTTAGAACGCAATTCTTGATTAATTAGGATAACAAGTCACTAACTCCTACTCTTTTTTTTTTTGCATTTTGAGCTGATTATCATGATTTACTGAAGTTGTAATCTTATATTTATTTACATAATACTCTATAAATAGCTTTGTGTTCGTCAATATATTGTTGTTAATATATATATAAAATGAAATTTATATTTCTATGATTAGTTGACTAATACTTCATTAGGTGAATCACATAGTACAAAATACGTCATGAATAATTGATGACAAAAGTTCAATATCTAGTGCAAAGTGTATTATTGATAGAAAAATAAATGAACAAATATTTTCCCTTTATTACGATTGACTGCAATCGTAGTGCAAAATTTTTTCTTTCTAACAAATAGTTTTATATTTAATAATATGTATTTCGTTTTTTTATTCTAAGTTATGATATGTTTTGTTTGAATACAGTAACCGAAACATAATAATGTTTTTAGTCCTTCTTAACCTAATTACATTTGCGTAAGTCACTGTTATAAAACAAACATTAGAAAACAAATGATTCTCTTTCATTTAACACGAACTGAAAGTTCCTCTTTCAGATCTACATTATTGATCAAAGTTCAAGGTTAATAGTTTTGTTTTTTCGAAGTTTGATTATGTGTTTTTCTCGAAGGTTATTTGTCTTGCTCCTAGTCTTATCAATATTATATTTTGTCTGTTTGACTTCTCCAATAATATAGCAAAATCTTGTCCTTCTTTGTTTCCTATTCGAAATAATAAAGCATTCTTTCTTCCTCAGACATAAAAACAAAATCTTATTGGCTCTATAAATTTAATAAAAACATTTTTCATTCATTCAATTTGTATCTGATGGTCAATGGCTTTTTTTCTTCTTGTGATTGATAATTATATGATCTTGACTTCTGAGATCTATAAATAGCGGTTTATTAACATGCATTTCTTCATTATTTGACAAAAAAATTATTGATGCAGAAAAGATTAGACAATAGTCAACTATGAAGATTGAGTCACTCAGGGATTGAAAAACTAATTAGGTTGGAAGGATGTATTCGTCTGATGATAGTTTATGACAAAAAAAAATACAATTCAATACGACAAGGAAAAAAAATTTTCTTATCTAAAATAGTCAAGATAATTAAGGTTATTTTCTTATATTAAATAAACTTTTATACAAATTATCTTAAAGAAAAAAAAAGTCCACTTCTTTCGTCATTCTTTCATGACATAAAATTATTACAAAAAATTTATCAAAGCAAACGGTGTATTATAAACGATTTTCTTATAAATATCATAAAGAAAACAGCAGGGTAAGTAAGTTCAATGACAATTTGCTAATAATTGTATTGACGTAACAAATAATTGTGAAATAAAAATAGTTCATTATTATTTAAGTTGAAAAAATTGTGAAGTCAGGAAAATACAATTAAAAATATTTTTATAGGTAGAAGAATTTATTTCTTATTTATTAATCATGCTTCTAGAGTTTTATAACAATATTTTTATCGTATTCATTACTTTCTTCCGGAGATAATCTTAAATAAGTATTAAGTATCCTTTTTTTTTTATCAAATAATTTGTGTTTTTTGTGTATTTCCCGTCGTGCTTATTTCTCGATTTTAAATAGATTAACTATAAACAATTCTTAATTTCATTTTGTATCAAGGCCAAAAAAAGAAAAAAATATATAAACAAACACCAACAGACACACAACAATAAATATATGATAATAAAAGAACGAAAGAAAAGAGAAAGAAGATTCATTGTTGCGTTTTTGTAATAAAATCATGTACATTGGACGTTGAAGTATAATTTGATGACAATTGTTGTTGTTGTTGTTGTTGTTGTTGTTGTTGTTGTTGTTGTTGCTGTTGTTGTTGTTGTTCATCATCATCGGTTCTTAAATAATTTAAATGTTTAGACGGAAGAGATTTATGATTTACTTTTAAATTCCATTTTAATTTTTTTTCAATTGATGTGGGCTTAATTTGTTTTAAATTAAATGATACATTTGGTGTATTTGTATTTAAATGCCCATTTAAAAATCCATCTGCTACTTTTCTATTATCATTTTCAGATAAATTTGAATGATTTTTTTTCAATCGTTTCACACAAAATTGTTTTTTAAAACTATGATAATTACTATTTTGTTCATTATTTATATTTGAACGGTTAATGAGTGCATTTGTTTGTTGTTGTTCTTGTGGTTCACGTTCTTGATCTCCATGTTCAGAAAGAAGACGACGTGCACGACGAAATGCACGATTACGTCCAACAAATGTTTCATTAAGAAAATAATTACAATGTGCTATTGTAAATGCTTCTTTAAGAAATACAATTGAAGTTAAAGAATAAAGAAAAAAATTTAATGTATAATTTAAATTTCTTATTGTTAATGCTATATAACGAAAACCAATATTAATTATATTTACTTTCAGATTTAATTTTACGCTACCAATTGCTGTTGAAAATAGCCAATACCAACATACTTGATATGGCATAGTAAATGTTATAAACGAAAATGAAACAGCTATTAACATAACACTTATATGAATACGTCTTGAACCACTTGTACGTATGCGGTTACGTAGTTTATGTACTGTTATTATACTTAATGTTAATATCAGTATTGATGGTAAAACATATATAAAAAAAATTTGTATTGAACCAATTATTTGATATGTTTTAGAAAAAAATAAAAGACAATCATCAACTTTAGATGCAACTATAGCAAGACCAAGTGGTGCAATAACAGCTACTAAAAAAACACTAAAAACAATAATCCATGCTTGTTGACGGTTAAAACTTGTTCTAATTAAAAATGGTTTTGTTACTGATAAATAACGTTCAACAGCAATCATCAATATAAGCCAAGAATTAATTGATGAGCCAACTAAATCAATATAAACATGAAATGCACATAAAAAACGTGAACCTGTTACAACAAAACCAATAAAAACTTTATGATTAAGCCATTGCATAGTTACAGGACCGGCAAGAATAAGAATATTTGTTAAAGATAGCATTGCCATAAATACTGATACAGGATAACGACGCATACGCTTACGAAGAAATATTATCATAGATAATGCATGAGTTGGAATGCCTATTTTGAAAGAAAAAAAAAAAAGAAAAAAATGTAGTGTTTTATTTTTATTTTCAAAAATTAAATTATTTAATAAACTTGAAAAACTCAATATGTTCTCATGCCAAAATTTGATTTAAAGCATAAAATATCTATAATGAAATGAAATGCTTACCAACAATGATTAATATTGGATTAGCATATAGAAAGACTTCATCTGTTATATAATAAAATCTTGTATACGCTTTATAATTTTCCCAATCATCAGCAAGACTTCCATTAATATCATCGCTATTGACGATTGTAGTTGTTGTTGCAATAGTTGATAATGATAATGATGAATTCATTTGAACTATTATCTAATTATATACTTTGTTTTCAATACATAGATTTTCATCTAAAAGGAAAAACTAAAAGAAAAAAAAAAGATTCTTAATCAAATTAATCAAAGTCCAAAATAAGAACATATTCGCTCTACTAGAAACCAAACAAAAGTGAAACATTACTAAACAACAAATACTTTATATTATGTAGAATTTTATATAACTTTTACTAAGAAATTAAATAAATAAAAGTAAGTTATTTACATGACATTGTTCTTTTTATGAACATTTAATATCTTTATTAATAAACAAAAATGACACCTACACGGGCGATAGACATAAATATTAGCTATAATAGTCGTATGTTACGTCTATCGATGAAATATGAGAACAAGAACGAGCTCGTTGTTTCTAATCAAATGAATTGTGCAAGCAATTGCGGCTTGCAACTGAAGTAGGAAAACTAATGCTCAGTTATTTAAGGCTTTTATTTTACAAAAAAAAGCAAAAACTCTTCAGAAAAAAAGACAAGAGTTCAAAACTGTCATAGCATTCGATTTTCTCTCTTTTTCTCTTTCTCTCTTTCTTGTGCTTTTTATCTATACACAAAACTATATGCTTCCATTCCTTCACGAGCATAGAAGAAAAAAAAAACTCATTTTCACAGAAGCACTTCTTCGTCGTTTCATTTATAACGCATGATAGCGTAGTTTTCTATTTAACTTCATAACAAGAACATGATTTCTTTTTTTTTTCTTACTTTTTTGATTATAGTATGTTGTTTACAACTATTCTAGGTTATCAAATTAATGTCAATCGAATCGGTTGCAGAATTGTAATCGGTAGAATATTTTCCTTATCCATATTGGTTTAAACAGTCAGATCAAGATGAATTACTATTCATTTCTCTTCTTCTATAACGGTCAAATCAATTCCCTCGACTAGTCATATCTGTCTTCAAATCACTACAACAATTATGTAAGGATCCTGTTTCACT